TGGATTTCAGGCTAAATATGCACCTCACACTGTACAAACTGCAGATTTCCTCTGTTTAAATATTAAAGTAATTTATGTTGTAATTCTATGTTTGTAGTGAAAATATTCAAAACTGCTTCAGTGCTGCTTGTGATACAGATGCAAGTCTATGGACCTTGTAGGGTCTTTGTTGAGGGTTCTGTTTTCTAGCCTTATGCAATCATCGTGGCAAAGTAATATTCATGACCCCATGATTAAATATTTGTTTAGGCTACGAGACTATGTATTGTCTAAGTACCGAATTAAAAAAGACAAGATGCCTTTTAATGACCACAACAAAACGGAATCAAAAACATGCCTCTGGGACGATGTTTGCACAGTTTTATAACCAACCAGAGTAGCCAATCCTGACCTCGGGGGAAACTACTGTTTTGCATATCGCATAAATTGCTCCAATACGCTGGCGGTAGGCGGGTGGGTTTGAGTCCTCACGCCGGGTAGAATGCTTTTGGTTTATCTGTTTCCTTTCATTTGGAGAATGGCGGCGGCTGCTACTTGCAGTTCGCGTAGCACGTTATGCCACGGTAGTAAAGCGCCTAAAGATCACCCTCGGAAAAGTAAAGACTCACGGAGGAGGCAGGCCGCCCTCTCCTTCCTGAACAACATCTCACTTGACGGGCGGCCCGTAGATCACCTGAGCAATGGGAACCACAGCCAGAGAGAGACCGAGCTGCAGGCTCAAGAAGCCGGAGCCGCAGCCGCCGGACACCAGGTGCCGGCGAGTAGCTGCGGAGCCTCCCCCCAGCTGCCGGCCACCCCGGGCGGGCCCGCCGCCACCCAGGCATCGAGGCTTGCGGGGGTCGCCGTTCCCCCGATCCTGGTCCTGCCGACTGAGCCTGGGGCGAACACCGTGGTGGGCAGCGACGCGTTTTCAGAGGGGGGCAATGCAAGCAACCCCTTGCCGGCACCGGGACCTCTGCTGCTGTCCCCGACGGGACCCCCGCACGCTGCCCTGCCGGGTGGCTCTAGTAAGCCTGCGACTCTCCTCTCCGTGCAGAGCTGCAATTCTCTGAGTTTGGACTCACGGCAGAGGTAAGGTCTGATCGAGCAGTTCACCTGTTCAGTGCGTCCCGGAGTCGGTGCATCGCTGCATCCCGCAAAAAGTCAAAGTGGAAATATTGGTTTTCCGATAACAGGTCCAATCCATGCGTTGTTTTGCTGGTATAGTCCGCTAAACCGCTGTGATCGATTTTGGCCCCGGAGTTTTAATACGACTCTCGGCGGTGTGGGGGGGTCATCCTAAAGGTAGGGTTGTTTTTGACTGTGCAGCTGAGAAAGACAGAAATACGCCATAAGAGTCTTTACTTCCTGCATCAGTTAAGTGGTAAATACTGCACAGCTAAATAATATTTAGCTTGGTCATGCTTTTTTTTTTGTATTTTGGAGCCTCTTGAAGAGTTAATGCTGAGCTCCATCACGTACTGCTGAGTGTCTTCCGGGTTTTGAAGGATAAGAAGTTAAATCCCATTATTAGCGCAATACCATGGTATTCCCCTATGAAGAGGTTTTACGGACGTGTCTCTAAATATAAAAGATGGATAATAAGGGAGTGAGAGCCCTGTGTTGTTTTGCGAGTGTGTTCAACTAGATCTAATCGTTGTTTATGGCTTTAGAGTAGGTTTATCGACCTCTTGTCGTGCGTTACGAAATGCTGAATCAAAAAATATCCTCGAGTTATTCTTTTCGGAAAGACGAGAATTAAGTGAAAGAGCAATCGCCCAGGCTTGGTCAGTAACGTATACAGGTCTTCAACACACCCTACTTTTTAATAATGCAGAACCAGGGTGTCTTGTAGCCCGGGAAACAGATACACATTGAAGATTTATTATTAGAAACAAATGTTAACAGTGGGCCAGAATAAACAGGCCTGTTAACGCAATCCAGCGTGTGCATCCTGAAAATAAGTATGGGGTTTTGTGTGTTCCACTTTTATTGGTTTGACCAATTTAAAAATAAATGAGGATTTAATTTATTTATGATAAACAAGCAGGTATTAGCTGGAGATGAGTTGGGTTATTTTTCAAAGAGCTTAACCTTTTTTTGTATTAGCATTTACAAACTGGAGTCACAACAGATAAACATTGACTCAGCCTGACTACTCTGTGCCTCAGGCTGGACAAAATTATTCGTTGATGAATTGAACAAATAGTTATGCAACATAATCTGCCAGGGCCTGTACTGGGGAGACATAAATAACCGAAAAAAGGTCCAATAGTTTTCCATGCATTGTTGTTTTATTGAGAGGAATCTAGCTCACTAAGGTAATCGCTCTGAGTCACATTCCTTTGTACTGCAGGGCTTCATACACCTTTGAAGTAAAATGTCCACCTCCATTTTAAAGGATTCAAAAGAAAGCTAAAATAAAGGACTGTTTGGCTTTCAATTGGGTTTTAGGCATGTGGGAACAACCACAAGCACTACTGCATGCAGCTGTGTGCCTTGTTGTGTAGGGCTAGCTAGAAAGGTTAGTTGTCTTCTCATGTTCCACCTTGTTTTTCTATTAAACATTAATCTGGAACTAAGGGGGAAGTAGAAGTGTTGACAGAGCAAAGACAAATAATAAACTTTGAGAAAAGCGCTTTACAGTAAGAAAAAAAAGCACACATTGGGAGGAGAAAGCAGAATTTAGACCATTATAAACAGGGTTTGGAATACAGAAGGGAAAAGCAAAGGGGCAGATACAGAACCAGTTATATAAAATCCCTTCTAAAGAAGATGGTTTTGAGTTGATTTGAAAGTGCACCAGGAAGGTAACTCTCGGATATCTTTAGGGGCAGAGCTTATACAGAGCTTTGGGCCATAGCAAGAGAAGGCCCTGTCACCCATAATATGTAGATAGGCTTGGGGGACAGGCAGGACACCAGAATTAGTTGAACAAAGGTTGCCAAAAGGGGAGAATGAAGATAGTAAGTCAGACAGGTCCTGAGGTGCCAAGCCATGTAGATCCTTATAAGTGAGCATGCAGATTTAGAAGTCGACACAAAACCTGACAGGAAGCCAGTGCAAGGACTCCAGGAAAGAACTAGTGCAATTACTAGTTTTTAACACCAACACCATGGGTCTTCTAGATATCATTCCTGCTTAACTTTTAATCGCTGTGGTTAACTTATCCATTTTTCGATCATACTTTTTTATCCTGATTCAGCACTCTGTGTTTTGCTTTTAAATAGTCTGCTGTACTTGGGTTGATGTGAAAAAGCTAAGCAAATAGAACTCAATCTGCTCCCTCCTCGATGTGCTTGATAAAGGTTTGCTGTAATGCTATTAATTGAACATTTAATAATTACTTCCTGAAAGGTCCCAGTGTGCAAGAGAATATGACCCTCTGACCTCTAATGCTGATTAAACCAATCCAATTATATAATAAACACTCTCAATAAAGAATATGAGTAGCAACCCCCTTCCAATCTGTACACACAGCTAGCTGAGCTGAAATAAAGGTTTTCTCCAATGTTGTTTGACCTCTGAATGGACAGAGTGCTTGCTGCTTTTGAGAAGCGCAAGTGTGTTTGTTCTGAAAGGACAGATGCATGTTTACATTCCTAAATCATTTACAATCACCCACCAGAATGTATATTTGCAGTAAATTATTTTACTCATAAGTTTGAATAACTGCTTGAAGCTTCCTGCTTCTTCATCATCTATCAATGATGTTAATATATGTGGGAATGACCCAGTATCAAACATTCTCATGGCAAAAGTGACTATGAGGTCTGTGCCTTGGCTGGAACAAGAACCAGTTGACGTGGGGATACACAAGAACTGGAACTGAGATCCAGTGTTTTCCTAAAGCATCCCCAGTGATATATAATTCACTGTTGTGATTCAGTGGCTTTACTCTTCCTTGAACTATTGTTCTGAAACATAACCTTAAATAAGTCTCATGTGCATATGACTGATTCCCTATTTATAGATAGAAACTGAGTGCTAAATCTGTGTGCGCTACTGTTTTTTCTTTTGTATTTTTTTATGTATGTAAAGTAAGGGAAAATGTTACAATTTTAAGTGCCACTTTTGTTGCATGGTGGCAATGTCTAGCTTTATGCTCAATAAAGTTTGCTTTGGGTTCAATTACTGTTACCAGCTTGGTATAGGGTGCTGGTGTTGGGGCAGAGACCCAGCATATTGCACAGATGATTGCTGTTGGTGGAATTTATTTTTTTTCAGGGCAGTGACGCATTTTTCTGCTTATCACACTCCTAAACGCCATAGATAAGCCAGTTGATTCAGAGTTAAGAGCTTGTTGAACTTTTGATTGAAACATCTGAGGCTTTCCAAGGTCACCCTTCTTAACCCTGTCTCAGGAGTCTGTTACAGCTGCTTCCCTCTGGACCTCAAAGATGCTGCATACTGTATAAATGAATAAAGAGCTGAGAGATTGTTATATAAACCAACAGGGGTGTGACTAGAATCAGTTTTGTAGACATTTGAATTGAAAAGTTTCTGTAAAGCTTGTGTACTGGCATTGAATACAGATTACCCCAAGGTAAGAAATTATTTTCAGGTTTATTAGGGAAATGTATTTACTCCTTTATGAAAAGACCTCCCCTCAATATTAGAATCTGTGGTATAGGCTATGTAACGTTTTGGTCTTGTGAATGAAAATGCACTGAAACAGGTTTGAACCAACTTTAAAAAGTCACAGTTCTAAAATAATGACATCAGTTAACTTTTTCTCAGATTTGGAGTGCTTTAGTAGTGTATGTGCTGGAGGTAGTATTATTATTGCCAAGAGTAGTTAGGAATAATAATTTATAGCTGCAAGCTAGAAACTGATGCAATAGATGTAGACATGGAGGATGGTGAAGATGCAGAAATGTCCAGATGCAAGCTGAACGGTGGTTGAATAACTCAGAGCAGCAGCTTGGACTGGGAAAGGAAGCTGATGTCAGAAAGCGAGGGGAATAAGAGTAGCCAAAATGTCAAATAGGGATGGTTGTGACAGATCCTAATCTGGATTTCAAAACTGGACTGAATTAAATGGACCCCAGCCACACAAGTTTGTTCGTTTTTAATAGGTCAACCAGAACACGCCAGATGGAACAACTATTGTGTAACAGTTCTTATTCCAAATTCTGCCATAATAAGCTTTTTGCCTTATGGGCTGCCCTGGGCGTTTGCTCGTGTTTGCATTATAAGAGCGTTGCCCTTCACTTTTCATATCCAAAACGAGTCAGAGGGGTTTACAGATTATACAGAAAGAAAGAAGTGTCTAACCGCTTCTAATACGTATTATGTGCCAATCTGTGCGCTGCTGTTTTCTGATGTTTTGACCAGTTGTTTGTGCATAATGAGAAATAAACATTGCTGATGCTTTAAATTGCGCATAGGAGCAAATTCTATTTCTCAGCCATTTTAACAGTGACAAACACTCCCCTTTTGCAGTGAAGACATTTTGTAGCTGCTGAAACTAAACAAGTACTTATGTTAAGAGTGGTAAGTCAAAAATAAAGCACGAGTCTAAATTACTCTTTACTCTTCACTTAGACTGCTTTTTTATGCCATACATGACTGTAGAGATAGAATATACTGTGTTCAGTCAACTAATGGGGACCAGGGAGTAAACTTTAGTGGGCAATCTCGAGTAGCCAATCAACCCTAAACGTACTGCAACCTAAAACTCGAAGGTAGGAAGAAGCTGGTGTGCATATCTGTGAAATAGATAGGGTTCTGGAGTCATAACTGGATAGCTGTGGGCTCCAATCCCAGGAGGAGCACTGATGTTGTGCCCTTCATCAAGGCACTACATCCAGATAGATACTTTATTGTTCATTACTTGGAAATTTGTCTTTGGCTTCTCCCATAAAAGTACAAAACACCCAAGCGAAACATAAAAGTATACTACTCTCCTGTATAAAGGGTTGGAAATGCAAGTTGCTTTAGGTAAAAAAAAATCATCAGAGTAATGTTTCCAACGTACTTGGTCCAGTTTGCACCATAGTGTTATGGGATAACTATGGAGAGCTTTACAAGCTGGCGATTCCATCCAGTTGCAAAGTGGGTAAATATGTGTGAAGTGCATCTTGGTCTTAAACCATAATGTCCTGTGAAAGGGGGCTCACTCCATTTCCATTTAAGCCAATGCTAAGATCAATCAGGTAGTTAAGAGCTCTCGCAAGATGAAAATGACCAGAGACAGAATTAGTTGTTCAACCTTCATTTAATATTTAGTGTTTTCCTGTTAGAATGCTATACTGCTGTTCTTCCAAGCATTGGCTAAATTACCCGAATAGGTTTTATCAGGAGTTGCCATTTATTGAAATCTGCAGTCGCATTTTTGAATTGCATTCGTGTTGAGCTTATCATTCAAAAACCTAAACAGCAAGTAGCCTTTCACTCCTCTCTCTCTCTATACTCTGTTTGTCAAAGACCACGGTTTCTACTCTATATCATGACATTTTCAGACCTAAAAGGATCGCAAAGTGTATATTTAAAGAATTCCATAAATGAAGAGTAAGGGTGTATTCTATAAATTTGATAACATTTTGTACCTGGCCTTGTTCATCGTTATGCACAGCTGAAACCACATTTTCTTTCATCTCCAGTTAGGAATCGTTTTATGCTTGATCTCCCCACTCATGCTTCTGTTAAAGAATATACCGATATGGGACTTTTGATGGTGTGTAATTGCACTGAAAGGCAATGCTAACTTAAATGTTAGCAACTTGTAATTGCCAGATGCCGTTTGTTGCATGGTTTTTGTCAGGAATTGTTTTGAGCAGCACTAATGACTTTCTCATGACCACTCATTTTGCTCAGGTCACGGACTTTATCGGGCTCTCCGCGACCTAGAGGTTTGAAGAAGGTCCACTTCATAAAGAACATGAGGCAGTACGATACCAGAAGCAGCAGGTATGTAAGCAGACTTGATGACTTTGCTTGTTAATGCTTCACACCAAAAGTCTTGGTGCAATCAAGCCACTGTATGTCACTCCTTGGTCATTCTGTGCACAAGCCTGGTGTGCAGCACGATCATTCTCATTTCAACATGGCCTGCTCGTGAAGAGGGTGATGTGATATTGGCGTTGGAGTCTGACCCCATTCAGCACGTTGTCATTTGCTGTCTTGGGGGTTCACAGTCAGCGATTTTCTGCTCTTTTCCAACCGAACACAGTCCTTCAGTGGTAGGCCAACAACTGGGAAGACCGCATGTCACAGTGCCTCGCCAAGATCAATGGGGCGACCCGGTTGTGTTGGACTGGGCAGGCATGTCTTACAGCTGGAGAACCCTACCTGTGATTGATGCCAGCCTGACTGCACGGTGCTACATTGATCATGTCCTTGGACTCCCACATGCTAGCCTGCACTGGGCTCATGCTGACATGACAACATTCTAGCAGCATAACACACCGTTTCATGCTGCTTGTAAAACAGTGTTTCCTGATGCAAGAAAAGATTAGCATTTTCCTGATGATACCAAATGTCTTTACAGATAGAAGTATAAGCTTCTCTTGAAGATCAGTATATTTTAAAATTCTTCTGTGCTTTGGAGTACGGCAACATTAAAACGGTGTGATCAAGAACAAGCTTAAAAGTACGGCCACATGCCTGACTACTTGCTCATTCACTGAGATGATGGAGAGATGCCAAGCGATAGTTTAATTACATTAATTTTTAGTAAGTGCCTCAGCATATCTGATAGGTCTGATCTGAAGGTACATTACCTTCGGGATTTAAAGTGTTTCTAAAGTGACGGTGTTTAAATGAATAAATTCATAATACTTTACTAATGTGATACAAGGACAGAATTAAGTCATGGCTGTAACTGTATTGAGTGCTACTGCTTTTCACAGCCAGAGCTTGCCATCTAAGTGCTGATTGCATTGTGTGTGCCTTGTGAAAGATAGACAAGATCTGTTTGTTTCATGACCTGACCTGCCCAGTTCTCAACATCGGAGCTCTCATTGTGTGCTGTCAAGTTTTTTCTCTCTCAAAACTCATCTTCTAACCAGACAGCAGAATTACACTGGGATTTTGTTTGGCCTCACGCCCATGGAAAAACACTAGTTCTGTTGACGAAGACTTAGTTATAAACACATGACAGCTTTCTCACTCTTGTTGTCTTTTTTTTCCCTTTGCCAGTTTTCCTGATTGTGTAGGTGTGCGATAGACATTTCAGATGTCCAAAATGCCACATAAGCGCTTAACTGTCTGTAATAATCCTTGGCATTGTATATTTTACTTGACTAGACTTGGAGCATCGAATACTTTAACCATGAAAGAGCCCATGAGAAAAAGTTCAATAAAAACATAGGTTCTGTTTTTCCATGCATATAGGAACGTTTAACGTAACTATGCAGTTAAATAACATTTTTTCTTCCACAAGACCTTCTGCGTTCTGCTTATGCCTGAATATGTCTTATGTGAATCCGTGTCTTGTATCATATAATATAATAAGCAAGCAGCGAGCACTGCTGAAATAATAAAGGCATATGACAGAATAAGGTTTGTGTAAAACACGCCAGGGTGCACACCCGCAACTGTGTCTTTAAGGAGGTGAATGTCGTCTCGTGGTGTGGCTGATTTTTTTTGTTGGTCTCCTGTTTTTAGGATAGTGTTCATATGTGCCAAAAGATCCCTGTGTGCTGCCTTTTCTGTCCTGCCTTATGGGGAGAGCTTCCACATCAGGTACAGCACAAGAGCATTTCATTATTACTTTTGTCTCTCTGAGTCATTCTAAAAATGTCCTTTTGTTTTAATTCTGTTGAATCTGCATAGAATTCTCAGTATTGTTTTGCCATACTTAAACCGGAAAACGTACTGCTGGTGAAATAGAAAATTCCTTCCTCTGGATAGAATTTGGGGGGGAAAAAACGGAATTAACTTTTGTTTTTAAATCTTACTACTCCTGTGTAGAAAGAGGAGTTTGTGCTATAACTGCAGAATTTTTGTAGTGTTTTTTTTCCAGTTAAAATTAAACCCTTATAAAGCATTTAAATGGAATTGGTGCTGTACAGTCACCACCTCATTTTCATAAAAAGCATTTTGTGTTCATCACAAAGTGATAGGTAAGAGTGCCTTTTCTTGCATGTGTTGGTTGTTTGTAGATGGGGAAAATATAATAGCTACTCATTTCACGTCTCTTGTGCCTTGTGCTTAAAAAAAGGATGCAGTGGAAAATTGTGTAATGTTCAGTTTGGTAAGGTCTCGCATAGGGCACCCTTCAATTTTTTTTTCCGTTGCCTCAGGTCATGTTTAAGTTTTCTCTGCTGTTTTTTCAAAGTCCAGATGCACTCCTGATTTACTTGTCCTTAATTGCTGGGGTCTGCTTTGTTTCCTTAGATAAAAATACATTCTGAGAGTTTAGCAAAACAATGCAGTGGTACACTCGTGGGACTTAAGTTTTCTGTGCGCAGCGATATTCCCACTGTCACTTGGGCTTGAGTGGCACAGTGCAACAGTACTCTCTGACCTTGGCTTTGAGCAGTGGCCTGTGTATTTACATCCTTGCAAATTCCGTGGAAGCTGGAGAAGGATTTTTTTTTATAAAGAGGAAATTGCATGGCATGTTATATAAGACGTTCGTGAAGAGATAAGAGGAGATTTCCCAGGCTCTGTAGAAATCAAAGTCTCGGGGACTTTTATGTGGGAGCCTGCCTGTACTGTCCAAATCAGGTTAGTTTAAATTAATGTTTCAGTTTATTTGCCTATATTATAATCATTAGTGATGATTAAATTAAAGCCCTCTAGTGTTAGATAATGTTTGAGGGAATGAGTTCTCTTTCTTTTGACAGCAGTGATACATAGTCATAAATCCTAGTAGCGGACACTATGAGTTTACTTACAGCTGCACAGATGACCATGAACAATTCTTTATAGTGTTTGTTTTGTAATACATCTTCCAAGCAATTAGAAGCAAATGGGTTCTGTGGATTTCATTGACATTCTGTCATCATATTACTGTCAGTTTAAAGATGTTCCGCATGCTAGCTCTGTAGGAGAGACATGTTTATCGTTCCAAAATTACAGCTGTGCTGAAACTGGAAAGGAGTTTGTGACAGATTGTGCAGCGAAGAAAAAATGGGTTTGCTTATTAACTAAGCAGTCCTGAAACATTTTTTTGAAACCTCAAACAAATATCCGTTTGCTAGAAATTCTCAAGAAACGAAAAGAAAACTGTACTGTATAAGATAATTGACACCATATAATGTCTTTTCCTTTTGGGTGTGTTTTCTGTGCATTGTGTGATTTATTCCAAAACCGTTGAGATTCTGCAATATTTTTATGAACCCTGGATTCTTCTAGTTTTGCTTTCACGTTGCTGTCACTGTTTATTCGCATGCTGAAAGCAGCCTATTCAGACTAGTTTCCACACAGTGGCATGTGCTGTGCTGTTAACCCATGCCTAGGCAAGCCCAGGTCTGCAGTTTGACTCGTATTAAGCACAGACTTGGCTTTCTTTCCACAGTGACCCCAAGCTGGAGGGACAGAGGCAGAGGCATCCTTCTGGAGGGGGTCCCCCTTCGCTAGACATGGTCCCGGGGCTGGAGGGAGTGGAGCTGGGAGCTGATGGAAAGGTAGGAGCCCTGGAGCTCACCCTCTTGTTGTGGTGGGATCCCATCCTCAGGGTGTTGGTTTTTTTCTAAAACTGGTTTACATTTGGGTTGTAAAAGCGATTCAGTCTTCAAGAAAATGTCCATTTTAGTTCAAGATGAAACCTTTTAAACATGAAGGGAAAAAATAGTTTGCAGGGATCTCTTGTACCATTGTGCTGTTATAGTAGTTCACTACCAAGTGTGTGTTTGGTCTGCATATATTTTTTTTTAATGCAGTGTTGTAATGGCTTCTCCCTCCAGACTGTATCCTATGCAAAGTTCCTCTACCCGACCAATGCCTTGGTAAAGCAGAAGAACCCTCCAGCTGATCCTGCTGCTCAGACTCCACTGGCGCGCTCCAACATTCAGAGAAATTATACTCCTGCCAGGATCAGTGCTGCAGCACCTGCCCAGGAACTAGGTAAAGATGAAGAGATCTTCCTCTGATGTATATCAAACCTAAAAATGAGTTTATTTTCTCAGCTTGCAATTGTGGTGTTTATCACATTTAAACGCCAACAAAAATAATTCTGCGCTCTGTCATGCTGCCAAGAATTCCCACAAAATTACACCCTTGATTTTATTCGTCGGCTGCATCTTGTCTTGCTTGGCCGCTTTTGTGTGCTCTGTTTAACGGGGTAGCTCTCAAGAGAGAGAAGTCAAATGCAGGTTCATGTGAGGTCCACAAAGAAACTCCTCTTTTTGTTCTTCTAAGTTTCTGCTTAAGTGCTCGTGTGTCGGAGCTGGGTTGGTGGCTTCCTGGAAAACTGTGGTGTGAATGAGATTCAGATTCTCTTTTGAACTGAAATGTTTATACCTTTTTATGTTCATTGTATCGCACTGATTCACTCAGAACTGTTAAGGCAGACATTCATAGATGTGCAGAATTACCTCCTCTGGTAAGGCACTCGGCTCTGCCTGTCAGCATGTCCTCGTTGAATAGGAGCTGTAATTACCTCAACACAAGTGGCAGATCCTGTTGAGATTCCAGATCTTTGGCCATTTGATATTTGCAATCCTCGTGATGCCTGCAGCCCTCATGCATTGCTCAGGCTCATTTCCCTAAAAGCCTTCCCTGATGGCTTGCTTCTCCAGGCAATGAGATTGTGGACATGTCGGAATACGATCCAAACCTCCTCAGCGATCCCCAGTGGCCCTGTGGGAAACACAAGAGGGTCCTCATCTTTGCTTCTTACATGGTGAGAGCCCTTGACAGCGCTTCATTGACTGTTTACTAGTCTCGTTGTGGTGCCTACCCCTGTCTGTGTCACTCCTGCCTCATTTCCACTGCTGGTGCTCAGCTGCAGCTAGGCGTACTTCACAGTGCCTGTCTGTATAGTCTCACTGCGTTCTACATTTGACAAAACAAGGCATACGACCTTGTTACTATTTTATGCCTTTATGCCTGGCTCCAGTTCTATCTTTTTATTGCAGTTAAATGAAACGTCTCCCACCACCAGCAAAGAAGAGTAATAACCCGGAGATGCTCTTAAAACTAGCATTGTCCTTTCTTAAAAATATTTCTTCAAATCGTTAAGCTTTCTGCATTGTTAGAAACTTTGCTTAGGCTCTAATCAAGTTCTAGAGAGCATTAAGTATTCCTATTTGTGTACACGTTTTTAAAATACTTAATATATCTGCTCTCCACAGTAAGCCAGAGCTTATTCCAGCAGACACAGGACACAAAAGTATTGAATTTTCTAGTTTTTTATTTTAGAGTTTCAAGACTAAATGACCAAACTTGGACTCCCATACCTGGAGTAAAGGCAGCGTAAATGGAGTGTTAGATTGGGGTCACATTGTTTTACTTCACTGTTTGAAAACATTTTCCTGTTTCAAGAAAATCTTTAGTATAAAGTTACTGTTGTGACTTTTAAAGTTGAGAAGCATCAGAAAATGTGGTAAATGCTACCTTAACATGGATGCTATACAACACACTTTTCATCTGATTTTTAAAAATATCATAAATTAGGATGATTTTGCCTCATACTTATAAAATTACAAATTAATTTCGCTGGCACTGTTACCTAAAGTGACATATATTTACACCCATTTTTTATTGGAAAACTGTGTGAAGGACCTTGCTCAAGAACACCACAGCAGAGTCTCACCTAAAATAGTTGTCTTTGTTTTAGCTACATAGTACTTTCGAAAGCTGTAAAAGCGAATCTGTCTGAACTTGTTAGAAGTTTTCTGTACCTTCACCTTTCCTGAAAGGGAGATTTACTGCTTTGTTGACGTCTGTAAAAAAGATGAAAATGTTGAGACATAAAACCTAATGATGTCATGCAGATCAACTGTAAATTTGGTTTGTGACTGTATTTCATCTATCCTTATATGTCCTTAGTGAATTCTGTTACCATGTTGGTAGGAAAAAATATATTCTCCAAGGCATTCAGACATCAGCTTCATGACTTAATTTCCTCTTTCCAAGGAATTTCCTTGTCATCCCAGCTCTTAATTTTGTTGAACGTTGTAGTGGGTTCTGACAGTTTGGTCTTTGAAAGCCACGGTGCACAGTGAAGAGGCTCCTTCATAAAGTACTTCTAATACCATTGTCTAAATATAAACTCGTGGCTTGATGTCCTATATATGCAGTACCTGTGCAAAGAGCTTTGAGAACAGATTATAAAGGAGCTTGTTTTCTTTTCCACTGTGGAGTGTTATGCGTAAGAGGCTAATGCAAGTTTTTTTTTTCTTGGTAACATTGCTTTCATGCTCGCAGTTTGCCCTCAAATACCCTTTTATAAAAACACAATACACTACCATTTTATCTTATTCTAGAATCTTGAAAAAAATGCTGATGGTGTGTAAAAGTTGCAGGTTTTTTTTTCCATTGCCACCAATGGAATCTGTTTATCATTCATTGAACCGTTCTTTACAGGATTTGTAAAGCGAGCCTTTTAAGTAAGTTCACCTACTCAAAAAAGGATGTTTCACAGATGACTCAAATTGTCTGTTTTAATATAGAATGGTTTAGCATTCTTTTTTGCTCTGCTCCAAACAGGATGTGATATGCTTTCTCACTTTGCTAGTCCTAACAAGCTTAAGGAATGTAAGCTTCTGTTTTCTGGTTACATTGCCTAGTGTTAACAAAGGTAAAGAACAAAGAAAATGTTATTAACCATCTCTATAGATCTTTTTTTATTATGTTATGTGTGATTTATAGGCATTATGTTTTAATATTCAATTAATTTAACATGAAAGATAAAGATATTTCATCATGAGTTTTCTGTGCTACATTTTTTCTGTTTGTCACATGTTGATCAGATATGGGGATTTTTTTTAAGACTGGATCCTTTTTCCTTTATTCGTAGACAACTGTAATCGAGTATGTGAAGCCATCAGACCTTAAAAAGGACATGAATGAGATGTTTAAGGAAAAGTTTCCTCACATCAAGTTAACTCTGAGCAAAATAAGGAGGTATGTAACAGTTCTCTTCTGCAGGAAAGTCACATTGACATGATTTGTTTTTTGCTGCAGAGCCAGAGAAGGAGGATGCTGGGTGCATGAGTTGCCATCTGTGAAAGTAACCTGCACCACAGATTGGAAATTTCAATCTTATTACCTTTTCTGAGCAAGGAGTCATGCTCATTTTGCTATAAATCTTACCCCTTTATTCTTACTGTTTTGTGATCGCTAGAGTGTTGAAGGTAACAATATCCCAGAGCTTGTGACTTTTTATTGAAGTGACCTTGTATTTACTGCGAGTTATTACTTGAAAAAAATACATTTTTTCTGTACAACATAACTGTTAATATATTTAAATAAATTGGTTGTAGTTTTTATCTAGACCCAGAAAGCTACATGCAGATGACTGTACATAGCAAAAGTACCTGCCTACCCAATACAAAAAAGAATAGAAATTTATAAGCCTGCAATATTCTCACATGTAGGTTTCATGTTTATGCATTGCCGTGGGGGAAAAAAAAAACCAGGGAGTTGGAAATGTTAGTGGATGTGTATGTATTGATGTACAGTATTTTGAGCGTGAAACGTTTCTGAAGCTCGGTGCTTAACTGCCTTGGTCTTGTCCAGCCTGAAGCGAGAAATGCGCAATGTTGGGGAGGAGTGCAGCCTGCAGCCTGTCACCGTGGCGATGGCCTACGTGTACTTCGAGAAGCTGGTGCTGCAGGGACGACTGAACAAGCAGAACCGCAAGCTGTGCTCTGCAGCTTGCGTGCTCCTGGCGGCCAAGATCGGCAGCGACCTGAAGAAGCAGGAGGTCAAGCTGCTCATAGACGTATGTTACAAAGCTTTCAGCTGTCACGGGTCATCGCTCGAGTCCCGTTCAGAGCCCGTCTGCCTCCCAGCTGGCCAAGGGACAGCCTGAGGCGTGTCAGTCATTTTAATGCTCAGTGCCTGTCTTTTTCTGGCTCGTCTTTGTGTGAATCCGAAAGGACGTTTGACGCTATGACACAAAGTGCTACAATATCTTCAACATCCTCAAGCAGAACAGCGGGTCTGTGCTGTGTGAGGGAGTTCAATCCAAAAGCTAAATGTTTGAGGTTATCTCTGAGGTCTAACCCGGACTCTGCAACTGCACAAGGTCACCTCCGCTAAATGGCAGATTACTCATACTTGGTTAAATCCTAGATAAACATGCTACCATGGAGCCACAGATTCTAAACTTTTTTTTTCTACAATGGTCTACTAAAAATAGGGGGTTGTGATTTCTGGATTTCAGTTTTAAATGTGTTTCTGTCTTCTGTCCCTGCAGAAACTCGAAGAGAGGTTCCGTATTAATCGGAGAGAACTGATCTCCTTTGAGTTCACTGTCCTCGTTGCTTTGGAAATGGCCCTCTACCTTCCAGAGAGCAAAGTGATGCCACATTTCCGACGTCTGATCCAGCAGCCATGACCAGGGCTGCCTCGCACTCTGGTCTCAAAACAGTGACTCTGCAAAAGAAAACGAATCATATTGCAATGGTTCAGTTGCAGTGCTGAAGCTTTCTAAGAGTTAAATGTGTCATTTGGAGTGGGGGGGTGGCAGGTCCAGACAAAATGAACCTACCCCTCTCTCACACTTTGTTAGAGGATTTCTTTTTGTTTTTGTTTCCCCATAACACCTATTGTGATAACTGGGTAATTTAGTTCATGCAACTCAATAGAAGAAGAAATGCTTTAGTTTCCAGAATAAAGTCAACACTATTGGATGATCCATGGTTCCTGACAGCTCTTACCAGATGACATTTATCTCTACATTTCACTGTTTTAAGCTGTTGCTAAACCGTGTCTTACACAAACATCAGGTATCTCTCATTTCCTTTCAAACACTTAACATTTAAGTGTAAAGGTACATTATTTACATGGAAACCCAGCATTCTGCAAATCTCAAAGACTATTTGACTAGGGTTTCATGGAGAAACCCTTAATATTCTGTTCTGTAGACTTGAATATCTCACTCAGACCGGCCACTGATCTACAATTAATGGTTCAGCATACTCAAAGTATTCGCTAGAATAACATTTAAATGATATTAAAGAAAAAGCATATAAATAAAAAATAAGTGCAACCTTTTTTCATTTCTATTTATTTTGTATTGGATATAGAAGGGATATAATCAACACATTTATTTATCCATAGTTTATCTGGATGCACTTCCTTTTTGTTGTTTACATTGTATTTGAAAATATTTATGCATAATCTATAATAGGCAGTATGTTTTGTATGTTACTAGTTACAGCAAAATTGTTTCCTGTAATATTTTTAACACATCTGGGAAGTATTGGCACAAACAGTAAAGATGAAGGATGTCCTGTTGCCTGCTGAAAATATGATTGTACGCTGTTAATTAATAAGCTTGTTCTTCCAAACCTTGTTCTAAGGAAAATAGCATTCAATGCACATTCAATCAAGCACTCTATGTTAGAGATTACATTTAAGCACATTTATGGTGCTATTCTGTAAAAGCTTCAATATGTCGTTGTGACTATTTTATGTGTATTACTGTATGGTGTTCAATACTCAGCTTGTGACTCCACCGGATCGGAATACATTTCTGGAGCCTGTAGGTTTTGATTTTACATAAGAACAATCAAAATAATACTGCTTTTAGAATATGTTTATATTCTAATAGATACTGCAAAGTGTGTTACAGTCACTTCTCCATCAGAATTAAACCATTCTGGCAATATATACTGTAATTCTATGTTCTTAGTGTGAGTGGGGTTGGGATCTGAAGAATGGGACAGTACGTTGTAATGGATGTGTGAATTAAACATAAATTGTTTTTTTCGGTACTAGTTTTCACACCTTGTAGTTTTTATATGTTTAATCTTCAGTAATTATCAATTACTAGTAGCATTCTTTGTCCTCCTGCTGTACATTTCTATGAATTAAACTTATTCTATTGAGCAGCAAATATTGATAGATATTTTGGTCAGCAGATGAGTTTTCATGTTGACAGATGATGATGGTCTTGTAAATCTTTGCACTTTATTTCCAATGCTTTAAAAGTTGTGCATTGTACTTTGGCACCAAAACAGCGACCCGCATTGTGACCCTCAAATTTTTTTTTTGTAAGTGCACCTGGTTTGTATTTCAGGGCGTTGCTTATTTCTTTACAAAGGCATGCTGAAGTAACATGGTTGTAAATATACAGCTATTAATGGGCTCTACAAGAGTAATCTAATGGTGGAAATGTGCAACAGTCATCTTAATGGTTTCATAGGAAAATGCTTTCAATTGCAAAGAAAAATATACAGTAGGATAATTTTAAATGCCAGCAGTCAAATTTTATTTTCTCAGGAAAAAATACAGAACCTATATTTTCTTTACAAATTTATATATTTACTTTGTCAGTTAAGGTTTAAAAATGCAAAACTGTTTATGTTATGTTCATTGTTAGTTCTGAAGTTGACATTTTAATTGTGGGAATGAATGTGTAATTTTTAATTTCGTGCATATTTTGGCTTGGTAATTCTTCCTCTGGCTCTCTGCCTTTTATAGGTTTCAGAATGCACGTCTACATTCTGCTAAATTTAAAAATGAAATAAAGTAGTCGCAGAAAAGCAACTTGTTTTTCAGTAAGTCATCCGTATCAGTAACTAATGGAAACATGTCTGGCATTTATCAGTACTTTTTTGAGTAACCTGTCTGCAATTAGCCTGTAAAATGCAGAGAGAATGCGCATCTGTAAAACTGTAGCAGAATTATGCACAGAAAGGACTGCTGCTGTGTCCCTTATGTTGCAGTAGAAAAATATACACTGGCACATTGCTGATGGAAACGGTGTTATATCCCGAGTGAGAGCTGCTATTTCTAACTCATGGCACGCTGCCATACACCGCAAATTACAAAGTGCCTGAGACGAAATTGGTGCAGAATGTGTTAAATTATTAATTCCATCAAACATGATGCCAGTTGAATTGCTTTAAACTGGTCTTGGTCCGTAACTCAAACTGGCAGTGGAAGAATCTTGATTTGTCTGCCTGGCTGTGTGCATACGTATTGACACTGTGACTTTCTTTTGACCAAAGCTTTTGCACTATGGTACCATGGTGGTTTGAATAAGAGTAATACCGAATATAAGAAATAATGGAACAAACCCATCCTTCCAGTGTTTGCTGCAGCCATGAGCACAGCTTGAAATAATACCTAGCTTTATAAGCAGTCTGAACAGTCCTGCCTTAATCCTGCGACAGTTAAAAGGCACAGTCTGCTGTGGCCATCTGATATGTTGTGCAGAGCAACAATACAGATGACATGAAGCACCCATGTTATTAAACGAATAAAGAAATGTAACTACGTTAAGGAGGTATAATAGAATGTGGTTTTTCCACTTGGACATTATTTAAATACCCATTTCCCCCCTTGATTTTTTTTATTTTTCCTCCCCTAAATATTCTGTTTTACCTCATGTCCACTTTTGACACATTTGTGCTTGACTGTAGAGTTCTGGTTTACCAGTCATAAAGATCATAAAGTACTGTTGCAAATGGAATCGGTTTTTAATGATCTATTTTGGATAAACAATGAATATATGTATATGTTTTCAAATATATTTTCTGTATTCCGTATGTGCCTCTGGGTTTTTTGTGTTCAGAATTGGCATGTTCTAGTTCACTGCTTATTAAATTGATGACTTCGCTCTGTTAAACACACGCAGAGACTTGGAGGTGCTGTAGGCCATCATACAGCTGGCCTGCGGGTCAGAAATGTTGCATGATGTTATTAGAAATGACAACTCACATTCTAAGCACTTGTTCACTTACAGTCCATTAGACTACATAAAATAAGAAGCAGTCTAAACAGAAACATTTCAGCACAGAATTAACTTCCACTTGTTCATGTATAGATTTCAAGTCATGTTTTTTTTTTGCTTGACTAGTTTACATTACATATCTATTTGAAGATTAACATGGTGGAACATCACTTGAAGCATCATTGATTCACTCTTTAAGTATGAATGCATCTGTAGTACAGAGTATATTATTTGGATTTATTTGCATAGTCACTATTAGCCATAACATGACAATTGTTGTTATAGTAAACAAGTAATATGAATCTGATGTGGCTGACCCACATGCTCCTCATTTTATTCATCAAGATTTTCACACAGAATTTGCTCTTGTTCTGACACTGTGCTTTAGTTTAGAAGTATAACGTGCAAATCTGCTTTAAATCGTACTTTTAAAGTAATAATTGCTTACACTTACATAGCAGTTTTCTGGACACTCCACTCAAAGCGCTTTACAGATAATGGGGACTCCCCTCCACCACCACCAATGTGCAGCCCCACCTGGATGATGCGACAGCAGCCATAGTGCGCCAGTACACTCCCCACACATCAAGTAGTGGGGAGGAGAGCAGAGTAATGAAGCCAATTCATAGTTGGGGATTATTAGGAGGCCATGATTGGTAAGGGCCAATGGGAAATTTGGCTAGGACGCCGGGGTTACACCCCTACTCTTTTCAAGAAACGCCCTGGGATTTTTAATGACCACAGAGTCAGGACCTCAGTTTTATGTCTCATCCAAAGGACGGCGCCTGTTTTATTATTGGGTCCCACATGGACCGCAGGGTGAGCGCCCCCTGCTGGCCCCACTAACCAGCAACCTTAGTTTTTCCCAGGAGGTCTCCCATCCAGGTACTGACCAGGCTCACACCTGGTGTGAGTACATTTACTTCTAATAGACTTCCGTTTTATTTTATGTTTATGTTTGGGTGGGTTTACCAATAGAAATTCGTTAAAAAATGTTTTCCTCGACAAGTCAGAAACGCCCTATTTTGGGAGTACTTCATCGTAGATGGTTACTGGACCAGTAGAGTCCTTGTGAAATTTTCCTTGTGGGGGGATAGTTGTACCCGGAGAATATGCAGACTACCTTTTCTTTCTGTTAGTTGGGAGTGTAGTTTTTCTTTAAAACCCACCCTATCCTTACAGTAGTCTAAAGAAGCGTGATGCTAGCGACATTTAGCGACGCTGGCTTGGCTGCACCTTTCAAAATAAAAGTCCCTTAACCCATAGCCTAAACGACGCGGTCTAACCTAAGAGTATAAAAGCCCTACACGACGCAGTCTAACCGGAAGCAGTTCTGATAACCCCTTGCTGTTATGACATCTTCCGGTGGTTTCGCTCTTCCTTTCCGTGTCGGCCATTATACAGAGCAGAGGTAAGAGGGAGCGTGCTCTTGAATAAACTGTAAAAAAATAAACAAACAACCGCATCGTTTAATATCAGTTTATTGAAAAATGCCGAGTTTAAACTACATACTTTATCTGTTTGTGATTTGTAGCCCTATAATTATTATTATCAAAAGCATTCGGCAGACCAAGAAGCCAGTGAGAAGTCGGCCACATGTTAGCGTGGAGCGCATTTATTGTGAGCTGGCGGAGAAATATGCTTTGCGTTTTCTTTATGTCCTCGATTTTATTAATGATTTGTGCCTGGACGTTAATAATATAAGAAGAGTCATTTGATCACAGAGTGCTCAATCCTTGGCAGGGTGACTTCGAGGCCGTGATGTCTGTATGCAGCTTATAGCGTTTAGTGATGTCGTTTAGATTGACCCGCAAGTCGGATTCTGTGCTGATTTTTGCCTAAATCCTGAAAATGATTTACATGCGAAATAATAGACAACATCGGATGGTATGCAGTATGTAAAATATCGTGAGCTCTAGTCTAATTTGGAATAAATCACTCACTTACAGACCACCGTGGGACGCGTCTCCTGAAAATAAATCAAGATGCAGAACGATGCCGGTGAATTCGTGGACCTTTACGTCCCCCGTAAATGGTAAGTCTTGCTTTATTCGTTACAGAGGGTGGAAAAAACTTCAGCAAAAGAAAACAAAAAAGTCGCATCTTTACCATTTTCTGTGTCTCTGTCAGTTTGCACTACAATATTGCCCGTTTTTTTATTCACTTTCAAACGTAACGCTTTTTTAAATGTGTTAAGGAGTTGGTGAATTGTCTTGTCGGCTTAGCACTGCTTTAGGTTATATCCATCAGGAATGTGCTTGGTTCACTAGCTCTGTGCTGCTTTGAAGGTAATGTGCAAAACTCATTTCCTGTAGTTTGCCTTCAGTAGTTTTATTTACCTCCATTATTCAGCTGTCCTTATGTGCTTCTGCAAGCAGGGGTGTGCCGCTCTTGATTCAGAATGTGATCAGCTTTCTGTAGCTCTTCAATTTCTGAGCCGTTCAGAGGAAGTGTTAAACTTGTCAGTTTAAGGTTTAACTGGATTGGATTGTTGCATCTCTTAGGCCTTGAGCTGATGTTGATTTAAGTCCGGAGTCCTCAATCCAGGGAAGCTGGTGTCTGTACTGGTTTTCATAATCGGACTGTCCTTATTTTCTTACTTGGACCAACTTCCCCCAGTTCTCTGGGTTCTGGTGCTTTGAAGAGATCTCAAAAACCTGCAGACTCACTGGCCTCCTTTGACACGGATATGGGACCCCCAATTTAACTGTCAGAATATGCATAGTCTTATGTCCTGCATAAATAACCAAGGCTTCTGCTTAAAGCGGAGGTAATTAAACTGGAAGTGGGAGTGACTCAGCAGTTTAATCTGGGGTGAGTTTTCCATTGTAGCATTCCTCGGTTCATCACTTTATGCACAGGAAGTTTCACATTATTTACTTTTCATTTTCTAGCTCTGCGAGCAATAGAATCATTGGTGCTAAGGACCATGCCTCTATTCAGATCAACATTGCTGAGGTAAGACTTCATCTTTGTTTCATCTAAACTGGCTTTATATTTCTGTTTAGAAGCTGTGTTAGGACATGTCTGTTGCTGTACTTAGTTTTGTGATGACAACTGATAGTCAGAACTACATTAATCTGCATCTGTGTGAAGGTTATAAGAAGTTTTACCTGAGCATAGAGCTGCTCTCAGGTTCGATTTGCTCAGTGATGGCTTGCAATTGAGGTTTAGTCTGTTATTAGTTTCTACATGCATAAACTGGTATTGGGGATTCTTAGCAATATCAGTTTTATGCGCTGATAATTTCGGGAAGGAATATATATAGATTTGGATAAATGTTTGTGTTAATCCTTGTTCCAGTGTGTTCCCTCTTGAAATCCCAAGCTTGTTTTTCCCTTTGACCATCAGGTAGACAAGGTCACAGGCAGGTTCAACGGGCAATTTAAGACGTACGCCATTTGTGGAGCCATTCGCAGAATGGTAAGAAGACTACCCATGCGCTTACATAGGTTCTCATCTTCCTCATGCTACCTGTGATTAGCACCCATTTCCTCATAAGGAGCAACAATATTGAATTGAACTGCTTAAGTTAAGTAGGGGATATAATTCAGTTGTGCAAGCTTTTAGTTGGTTTCCTTTAGATGGGTTCAATCCAGCCGAATGTAATGCTGCGCGATCAATATCAGTTTTGTGTTGATCCTGTGTTGGATTCTGGCAGTAAACAGTCAATATTCTACTCCTAATTAATTTACCCCAGCAAGGAAGACTGCACTGCTGCTTTTCAGATTTGTCTTATTAAAGATGGTAGTGATTTTTTTAAATTCCATGTACGTATTGGCAAGAACCAAAATATGGAAATCGGTCACAATTGTTGGGTCTAATGGACATTTTGCAATGATCGTGCAGTTTGTAGGTCAGAAGGCCTTTGCTAATACATATGCAAAGTTGTATGCTGTTTACTGTGAACAGTTACTTTATTGATCACTTCTGTAATGTGTGTATATCTTTTTAGATGAATGCCGTTTTACTTTCAGAGTAATTTAAAACTTGGAAGTTTTATTCACAAATCATTCTTGCATTCCTATAAGCTTTTAGGTAGCTATTTACAGCTCATTGTTTGAGAGACTGGCATTGAAAAACACATTTGTGTGTGTTTGGGGAGTTAATCTGAAAATTCAGTCTGCAGTTTAACTAGGATTGGGTTATGAAGGGTGTTGCTCTTTTACAGGGTGAAGCAGATGACTCTCTTCTGAGGCTGGCGAAGAACGACAGCATTGTCTCAAAGTAAGGGCACTGTGACTGGAGAGAAAGAAAGGAATGCTGGAAATGGGGGTTCTGTCTTCTCTGAATGGGCTGTGTAGCCCTAGCCATTGCTTTGATCTTTGAGAAACGGCAGCCCATGTGAGCAGTTTTCCAAGATGTTGCCTTAGTGATGGATCGCAGTGACTTGCTGCCCTGTATTTGCAAAGATAAGATGAATAATTTCAGAGCATGGTTCAAGCAGGACGTTGTCGGGGTGCAAGGTGCTGATGAACAAGCAGAGTTTAATTTCACTTCAAAAAGTATGAAGAGCACAAATCTTCACATACCTGAAGAAGAATCCATAGACACAATTTGTTTTTACTTTTCGGTGTGAAATTAGCCTCTAATTGCTCCCCATGTCACATAGTCTTGTTTAAATGTACTGTGCTCTATATAAATGGTTATTAGACCTGTGTATAAATTCTGGTGGAATATGCAATACTTTACCATTTATACAATATATTTTGCTCATCTTGCAAGCACTGCTTCTTATTGCAGTTCTTTAAAATTGAACTTCCACTGTAGAATGCTGTAGGGCGCTTGGCTTACTGAACCACACCCCATCATAGGAAATTACTGATTTTATCAAAACTGAAACCTAATACTAGTTAGTAGTTTGTAATTGTGTTAATCTCTTTTTCTAATCTTTTCAGGAACTTCTGAATCTGAAGATGTGATTTTGAAGTTTGTCCTTTGTAAAATAAAAAGGAAAAAGAAACTGATTTTGTTGTCTTTAATTATTCGATGAACAAGTATGTTATTTTGCCTTTGTTTTTTAAGGGATCTGTTTGCCTGTAAGGTAGAAACCCAAGGTGTTAAAATTTAAAATGTTTGGAGTTTAGCTACCAGCTCTGGCAGCTGTGAATCGCTTGTCACTTGTTAAATAGTAATAGTTGAAGGGTTTTCCACCCTCTCTGGCATTTCCCACTCTGGTCCTGAAGAAACAGTTTGCTGGTTTTCAATTTCTTTAATGTCTGAATCTTTTGATTAAATTGATATGTTTGCTGGTTTAGACTTTGGTCATTCCTGAGTGTCACAACTACCATACATCATGGTAGCGGTTTCCAGAATCCTTGGCATACAGGCCGTTTATGCAACCTCTCCTCAACGTGTTACCATTATTTCTGATGACATTTCTTAATAGTTGATAAATCTCATCATTTATGATGAACGGAGAGTTGTGAATGACACTGTATGAGACACTCCTATAATGCAGAAGTACAATTGGTTCTATTTCAGGCAGCACACCTTTGAGAGTGTAATTCTGAAACTCGGAAACGGGTGCATTGTTGAAAGTCGATTCCATTTGACCTTTTTAAGAGCTGAAAGACGGTTTACAAAAGTTCGTCTGAAGTTGAATCTGATTTCCAACTCTCCACCCTAGAAATAAAAATGTAACCAAGCAACATATTTCATTTAAGGTGAAAGAAAAGGCTGGGCTATGGGTCCCCAGAACGCAAAGCAGGTTTGATTAAACCTTGTCACGGCATATTTTAGGCATAGCACAGAGCTGTTACAACTGGGGGAAAATTAAATTGTCCTAATTAATGGGTACATTAATTAAATGGATCCTCTTTCTGTCTTTTATATGAAGAAGCAAACCAGTGTCTTGGAAATATTTTTTCAAAAACATTTTCCTTTTAAAAGTTATGCTGAATTGGACAACTATTTTAATACAAACGAATGTCAAAGCTCTTAATCTAGCAGTTAATTGGAGATTTCTTCAAGGTTTGTTCCTTTCAAATGAAGTTTAAGATCAACTAAAAGGAAGTTGTTTTGCAGGCACTGGTCTGTGGTTAATGTGAAGTCCTTGCGTTTTTCAGTTACCATCATTAGTTTATTTATAGTATAGTATTAACATGAGGCTTTTGTTTTTATATATATTTTAAATATTTTTCTGAGTCACAGCAATCTCATGGGAAAATTTAGAAGATTACAAGCCACTGCTTACAGCTCGGCGGGCATGTTACAGATAACTTGCAGAGAAATATTAAATTAGACTGAAAAATTAGAGCACCAGAATGTTACAGATGACAGCCTGTCTTATAGTAGCTTATTGATCCAAAGGTTACCATACAATGTTTGGAATCATCTTTAATGATGAGGCTTGTTTGCTTGTTCCTGACATCCACCATCCATTCTTCTTTTGAGTAAAAAAAGTATAAAAAAGTATATTTAATTGTATATCTGTGCTTGTTTTTCTGCCAAGCATAAACTAATCCATTGGAATTCCCATTGGTATCTTTTACAATTTGGAAAACTTATCCAGTACTCAGGTAATCATCTTGGCTGATTTTACAATGACAATGATTTTATGACCTAAATTTATTAAGGGAGCTTTCTGTGACAGTTATGTGCTTCTCTTTCACAGCACAGCACGAGTTAACAAAAACTTAATAAAACTGTGAGGTGACATGTTTTTGCAGTCAAGCAGGAGTAAATGTGTCTTTTTCACCACTGGCAACTTGTAACAGCTACAGTCAGTAGCAAGAATATGATGAGAATTGGTGATCATACTAAAATCCACATGCACCTCTGTCATTTGTTAAACATTATTACATAAGATCATGTTGAGCAAACCTCTACTAAAGCTTTCACTATCCATTGAGCTTATTCTGGTTTTAAGGATTGGATGAGAGGTTATTTAAAATAAATTATCTTATAATCGAATGAATCAGTGCATTCTTCAAGCCTGCTGTAATGGAAGAATGTGCAAGAGCACTTTTTAAAAATAGATGGTGGGAGTCCAGCCGCTTGAGAAAATTATCTGTGACTAAAAAGGGACTCTAGGAAAGCCAAAAGAAGCAGTTTTGTATTTTTTTCTTGCATTGCTATTGCCAATAAAACCCTGAATAACCAAGATAAATCTGCCTTATCTTACAAAACGCTTTGCTTGGAAAATGCAGTTTGCAGGGCCACTTCTAGAGTACAAAACACTGCAGGCAAGCCAGAGAAACATGAAATGTCATTTGGTCAAAGGACTTTGGGCACTGGGTGCAGAACAGCCTGTCTTATTGATGTCCTGCAGACACCAGGGTTTGTGTTATCGGTATATAATCCATCCATACAGGAGGTTCTAATTTAAAAAAACAATACAGTGCTCCTATTGCTGCATTTTAAATAATCCTAAAAGTGAATTGGGGAGTTTATGTGGAGTTGGGTGAAACAGTATACAATTAATTATGGGGTGAAGGTATTAGATTTAGTACTAAATAGTAGTGTGACTGATAGTCAATCTTAAGACAGTAGATCTAAAAATGTATGCAAGTCTAATTCTGAGAAATGTGTTGGGTGTCTTACAGTGTATAATGGGTTTTTCTCTGTATTTGCAGTACATATGTAAACTATGACTAATCTTTAGAATTCTTAAGGTTTATATATCAAACCAGACTGTATACATTTCTGTATTTTTGTTTAGAAGTCCTGTGATTTGATGTCTGTAGAACTAACATTGTCTGCTTACAATGTAATCTGTTCAAGAAGAAATACCCAAGGAATGTTTCCAGAAAAACAGATTAAAATTCAAAATTTGAATTCCCTTTGCCATTTTTGCATAAAAGTTCATATAAACTTTATTTCTGTCCTAGTTTTTTTCCTTAGGCTAATAAATAGCATGAATGGAGGAGTACATGTACAACAGGGGTATTTCTCAATAGCTGTGCAATTAAAATTGAACATCATTTTAAAAATGCATTGTAAGTTAGAGTATAGCCAGTCTTAATTGAATATCTGGGTCAGTAATTGTAATTCAAGCCTTTGGAATCCTTTATAGTTTATTAAACAAATATATTTTTAAATTCTTGTGATTGCCGTATTTCATATAATTCAAAGGTAACTTTGTTCAGCTATTTATGCATAGGGTCCATAGTTAAAACAAAGATGCTAACATTCTGGACATTTACTGTAATTCCAGTATAAATGTATTAAATTTAGTGCTAATTTTAAATAACAGTGTGGATGTTTAGGTTTTAAAGTTTTGCAATTGTTTAAACTTAAATTTATACAAATGTGGTTTTTAATGACTTGTGTTGAGTGTTTTCAGTATAGCATCTTGAGCTGGTCTCTGCATTTGCATTAGGAATGTAAACGGTCTGCCTGGTTTATAGCATTCTAATTGTTTATACATAAAAGCAGACTTTTTTGTTTGAAATTCTGTGATTAAAGATGTACACAGCTAACATCTGGCCCTCACCTAATGTCGATGTATCACTTTGTTAAAAATAATGACAGAAACATATTTAGAATTAAGGTCCTTGTCATCTCCATATAAAAGGCTGAAAGACCTGTTATTTTATTTAATTTCATGGGTCTAGTCTGCTAAATCTCAATCTAGATCTAATTTAACTAGCTCAAGTAGATCAGGGTTTACTACATTTATTTCTCAAGTTGCCATTGCTGTCCAGCTAGCTTTATTCTGCTACTATTAAGTTACAGTTTTAAAATTATTAACATTTTTCTTTTAACCTGATACATGTGATAGTTCAAGAATCTGAAACAGGTCACATAAAACAACCTATTTGTTAATTAAACATTAGCCAAAATCAAATCAATTAAGGGTTCAAGGCCACAGTTCCTTAGATGTATAAAATGTTAATTACCTAAAAAATTAAAAATGGTAAAATTGAACTGTGATTCAAAATACTCTTTTGAGTTAAATGATGCACATTTTCTTAAATAATACATCAACATGAAACACAGTTGAGGGTATTAAGTCTTCATCAGCTGGTGTAAATGCAGACATTCAGAATTTGGGAAAAAAATGTTTTTTGGGACAGAAAATTACTTTCAGAATTCACCTTTCCCAAAGACCTTGCTGTAGTGCTATGGTTTAATCCTGGACAAATGCGTGTGCTGAAGTAAAGTCTTAGTGTAGTACGGCCAGCAGGTGGCACTAGCAATCCTTTAGCACCGCCACCTAGGTTGTTAACCCGTCTCAGGCTGAATTGTGAGAAGATCGTAGGGTGGATGCTTTTAATACCCAAGAAGGTTCTGTTTCTGATTTTGTGGAAAATACACGTAGTTGCTCCAGTAAATGTCATGCTGTACTAATGGGAAATAATACTACTTCCTGCATTTATTAAGCATTTTTCATCCAAAAGGATTCCAAAGCACTTTTACATAGTGAGAGGGATATCTATTTCATCCACCACTGAAGTACATCACCATGATACCCCACTGGTGATGAGGGGCAGCCATTCTGTCTGCAGCCCCATTACACAGCACATCAGGTGGAGGAGAGAGTAATTGTTTCTCCAACTGAATTGCAAGGGAACTTTACATTTCCCATGAACCAGGACCTCTCCAAAGAACTGCACTTCCTACGGTACTCTCATCTGCTCTCATCATACTGAGGCATTGCTTTCATATTCTGGCCCAGTGGAACATGTGCCACCTACACAGCAACATCTTTTTCCTTAGAGGTCTCTCAGCAGAGCAGATGCCCTGGAAATGTCTCCTATTTACAAGCCATCACTGCCAATGAGATCGTATTCTTGCCTGGTTAAGTATTAAATATACGGTGAAGTATTTTCATTTAGTGCTTGTCTATTTTTTCTGTTTTATGGACTTCCTTCTGTTTCTAATCTCCACCAGTGACCGTGTTTAGTAGTTCCATGAGATAACAAACGTCTGAGCAGGAAGGATTTTTTCCAATGTGCCTTTATGTGTTGTAGCACGCTGTTGAGTCTCAAACTGAGAATAAGAAGAGTGTGCAAATTCACGT